AAGGCGGGGGGGCCGGCGGGGGGGGGAGCGGGGGGAGCCAGCTCCGAGGCAGCATCCCGCACTGAGAGCCCCGGAGAAACGAAACCGAGCCAGACCAAGGCCCCGCCTCTCTCCGGGGACACGCTCGGAAAGGGAAACGCGGTGAGGGCGGGGGATAGGAAAGGAAAGTGATCGGGTGTTTTGGTAGCCGCCCAGTCGTGTCGGTGTCGCTTTCACTAGGGCTTCAACCGTACCGCTATCATTTGAGCGCTAGGGCCCCTTTTCTAGCCAGGCTCTTCTGCAGAGCAGCCGCTAGAGAAACCACACAAACAAAGTGGCTTGGGAGCCTATGACGAGCCGTGTGCACCTTAGGTGACAGCATTTTTGTAAACAAGCAGTGAACGAAACGAAACTCGCCTAGCCCAGGTTGTAAAGGAGTGTTCTTATCCAAAAGTCTGATTGCGTGGAAGCCAGATTAAAGTTCTGAGGAGCCTAAGACTAATGGGAGGCAAAGGGCAAAAATGAAGTCATCATCTCTACATAAAATTAACACATTTAATTCTACTCAGTTCTCCAAACAATTTTGTTTTCCTAGCATTAGCTGTTTCAAAGACCTGAATTATGTCATTGTAATTCAAAGACCTGACACTTTCATTCTCGGTTCTCAAGAGGGCCAAAGCACTGAGGCGTTCTTGAGTTTTGGTAGATGGGGAGGACATTTTTAACCTTATTAGAAGAGAAGGAACATTCTCTGCTACAGTTAGTGATCATTAGTGAAATACAGCTTTGTCAATGAAAAGTCGGCACCTAGAATAGATTCTATCATTTCTGTGAGCCCATCTCAGTCCAATATGCAATGAGATCTTGAGAAGACATGTCCCACTCACCTGGATAACTGGTGAAGGATATGTTTATATTGCCATCACTAGCAAAGTCTTCAGAGGAGTGAGGTGAGACTGCATCTACAGAAGTCACAGTGACAGAAGGTTGCTTCTTTTCATTAGGTATAAGTGCAGCAAGTTCACTTGAGCTGGTATTTGCCTGGACTTCCTAACCACCAGACTTAGCAGAAGAAAAAACTATTTCAAGAGAATGAGTAGTGTTCAGTACTCCATCTTGTCTTTGCTGTCTTTTTTTGGACTCCTTCAATTTCTGCCATTCTCCTTTCTTTGACATGGTGGTTTCTGTTGTTCAGTGTAGGCAAAGTTAAATATTGCTTGGACACACAAACTTAGCCTACACAAACACAAAAATCACAAATACCGTAAATTGAATCCACATTCCCCTTCTTCTACACACTGTCCCTTGCCTGTCCCATTTCCCATCCCTGTCTCTTTCCCCTGTCCTATATCATACCTCTTCTTTCCCCACTGTAAAGAGTATGGCTTAAGCACAATTGTCAGCATGCACATAGAGTGGTTGTAAAGCTGTGTAATCTGCCTGTTGGATGGCTATTTAGTCCAGGCCATGATTTAGAGATTGTGGACCTGTGTGAGGATGCTAGCTACCACCAGGTGACTTTTGGTTAATGTGGGAGCTAGAGAGCCAGGGGGAATCTACTACACTGGTGTCCTGTATGTAGCTAGCAGCCTTAAAAACAAATACATTTCCTCTGTATTCATTAGCTCTTCCACAATTAGAATCATAGAATAAAATAATCCTAGGACTGGAAGGAAGGTACCTAGTCTAGAGGTCATCTAGTCTAGTCCCCTACACTCATGGCTAGAAGACTAATCTAGACTGTGAGATCAGCAGCTCTGACATAACATGAGGTCTAAGCATGAGTCCTGTATGCAGTGCTCTGGCTATGGTTTGCTTTTGTTGTTTTTAAGCATTCAGTAGGCAGCTAGAAGCAACACAGTACAAAAATGCTGGGCAACCATCTAATGTATGTTAGCTCTTCAAAATCAGTGTACAAACATTGAACAAACTTAATCTAAAGCCTTTCAGCTTTTGAATGACTAGGACAAAACAGAGCTATTCCCTTCCTGTTGGGTTCTCTGCCCCCCTGAATAAAATGACTTCATCAAAAATCAGCATATCAAAAGAACTATCAAGTCTGGCTGGTGTTTGTTTACTAGGCTCCTGTAGATATTGAAGGATCAAGCAGATAAGGGACTCTGGAGCTGCAGGAGGCAGGAGAAAACCCTGGGGGACTCCCTGCTGCATAGGAGGAGAGCTGAGTAGCAGTAAGCAAAGAGGGTAGCTACTCCTCCTCCCCGCCCTATGTTGCTCCATCCAGCTGCAGCTCACTCAGGGTATCTCTACACTACCGAACTAAGTTAATTCGAACTAAGCTAATTCAAACTAGTGCATCTAGACCTAAAAACTAATTTGAATTAGCGTTTTGCTAATTCAAACTAGCATGTCCACACTGAGTGGACCCTTAACCGAAGTTAAGGCTGGCCAGAACCAGTGCTGGCAGGGCATCAAGATAGGACTTAGAGTGTGGAGCTGCTGCCTCAGGCTAGCCAAGGGCTGTGCTTAAAGGGACCTGACTCCCACCCTGGACAGACAGTTTTCAGGGTTCCCCGCTTGCTTGTCTACCTCAATGAGGGACAGCAAAGCAGTCCTGTCTTGGAGTGCCCTGAGTGCCCACACTCAGCACATCACAGCACTCGGCCGTCAGCCCGGCTGCACTTGCCACAGGCTGCCATCCGGGGGGTCAATTGGGGGGCTGTCAGGATCCAGGAGGCCCTGCAGGAGAGC